TGAGCATATTGAGGAAACAGACTAAAATGCGAAGACACACAAACCGTGCTTTATTGCTATCTTTTACTCTCCATATCGCGGTAATGTTAGCGATTTCGCCATTTCTCGTGAACCATTTCCATGTAGAGAAAGAAAGTATATCAGCCGAGATATTAGAGCCGGAATCCGAGAAGCGAGTGAGACAGCGGGTTTTACCGCCACGCACACCCGTAGTGCCACAAGTGAGTGAGACGGAATCGTCACCCTCTTCTCCCGCTTCACCGACGTTCGCTCCAGAGGTAAGCGTCCCTAAGGCACCCGTTCATGCTGATGTAATTCCCGACATCGTTACGCATGCCGATCTTCCGCAATCAGATGCTCCGAGTCCTGTGTCCAACTCCAGTTTTGGCGAGGATGGCGAACTGGCGGGTCCTGTTGTCGTTGAGGGACAGCGAGGAACCGGGGTTGGTGGACCGGACGTAATGGACGTGGAACGGGGGATATGGGACAGGAAAACACTTTGCAAAAGGGACAGGTGCGTCGGATGTCGAACTCGCAACCCTTGATGGTATAGATGCTGGACTTGGTATCTTCGGAACAGACGTAATGCCAGGACACGGCTTAATCGGGCAAGTCTACGTCCCCGGGGGGCAGATCCACCGGATGCCGGATTTCGATCTTTTGACCCCAATCTATACCTTTGTTACAGCAAACTTAGATGTCTCTAAACGAGACTATACCGAGGGATTTCCGACACCAGAAATGCAATCTGTCGTTGAGGATTTTGCAATTCGCTTTCGAGGGGAGTTAGCGATTGACACACCGGGGTTGTACCACTTCGGGCTTTACTCAGATGACGGGGCAAAACTATATATCGACGGGACTCTGTCGTGGATAACGATGGAGTTCACACGAAGGGGAAACGGGGCAGCATAACGCTCTCAACAGGTGTATATCCCGTTGAGATTCAATATTTCCAAGGACCCCGATACTCTATTGCACTACAGTGGTACTATGCTCCTCCGAAGGAGCCTTTTTCTGAGACGAGGCGTTCCATTTCAATAACAATCCCCACTTTGGAATGGCGCACGGAGGAATATATACTCGGAAGGATTGTGCCACCCGAGGTTATCTATCGCCCCAGCAAACCTCGCATTCCAGATGCCTTGAGGAAATTACAACAACGTTTAAAGAATATCGAAAGTGATTAGTAAAGGGAGATTAAATGAAATATGCTGTTACAAAAGTAATGATAACACTCCTGCTTCTCATTACCCTACAGTGCAATCACAGTCCAATAACGGCACTGTCGCCTTTGATTGCCCAAATCTGCCATCATCTGAATTCCAGTTTGATTTAGACAGACGTGTCATTGCACTCGTGATGGAGGAGCCGACTTCCAATATTGCGCCGCTGTTTAACAATATAGACAACTTACATCTCCGCAGTTATCGAAGTCGATCTGTTGATCTTAAGGAAGTTATTCAATATTACGGAGAAGCCCTAAAAGCGCGCGGCTGGAACGCATTAGGACAACCCTTTCAAGGCGATGTCGAAAACGACAATTTGCATCTCTATACCCTCCAAGTAAATGAAACCGTTCAAGGGAGTCTTCGTTATTGTTAAAAGTGGCGACGATGTGTATCTCGTAAATATCGTTGGCGAAATCCTGAAAAAGCAGCTCGGCGAATTGCTACTCAATCTCAATCAACTCGGTATCGAGATTCCTGAACTGATGTTGCTCAAACCTCGCGATCTGGAAATCGCGCCCCCTTCACCGCTCCCAACGCCTGAAACTGTCGAGCTAACGCCAACACCTCCCGTCATAACCAATACCGACGATGATGTAAATTCACCGTTACAAGACACCCAAGAACCGGCAGAGTCATGGGATTGGACTTTTGATGGTGAGCGAATTCACGATATTCAAATCCAAGGTGTAAACGGGATTGAAAGTTCCAACATTGTGAAAGTTCTGGAAAATGGATCTGGCGACATCGCTGAGGTTATGCCTATTCTTACAAGCGTGCTCCTCAATAGTTCTAAAAAGGCATCTCTACGCGTTGAAGAAGCGAATGCCAAACACATTGCGATAATTACAGTGGGAGATATTCCCGTTACCCGAACAATATCAGTCCTGAAATCTTTAAAGATTTCTGGTTCCGGCGGTGGCCAAGTCCACAAATCATCTTTTGACAAATTGGTTTTACAAAAGTTAGATGCTCAACCCCTAACAGTTGGAACCCGCTTTCGGGCAGGGAATGCCCCTATCCACGAAATACGCATCCAAGGGAATCAAAAGATATCAGAAACACAGATCCAACAGACGCTTGAAAACGGTTCTGAAGACCTTGAACAAGCACTCAAAACGCTGTATAAAGCGATGCCCTACTTTGAAGAGCTAAACCTACAAGTAGATGAGGAAAATTCGAAGTACATCGCGACGATTACTGTTGATGAGAAGCCGCTTTCTACCGATGCCTATCTCGGCCTCAATCCACCGTTCCGTCTCGGATTCAACCGAGTGACAGGGTGGGAAATCGGAACTGGTTTTGAACTCGGCAAACGAAAGGATATCGGACCCCTTTGGACGTGGAGCATCAGAGATTCAGTGAGCGATCAAAGTTCAAAGTTCTTTGGGAAGGTGAGTTATGCGTTCGGTAACCCGCATCTCCATTATCGGATGGGTGGCACAGCGAATTGGGGAAAACCTTACATCTGGAACCTCGGGCTCACGGCACAAATGCACCGATTGACAGATGCGGTTGCCCCTGAAATGTTTTCCGAACTACAATGATAATACAGCTATTGTTCAACGTATTGTCGGGATACCAGACTTTCAAAATTACTATTTGCGACAAGGGGCTGAGCTTGCATTGCGATGGGCACCTGTTATGCCGACCCACTCGTTCAAATTGGCGACGGTTACAGAATCACACGCCAGTCTGCAGAAAAGCACAGATTGGTTTGTCGCAAATTTGCGCTCAAGCCTCAGTGTGAGGGGAAATCCACCGATAACCCCCGGTCGAATGCGAAGTCTTACCTTCCAATACGATTTTAATAACCGACCAAATTCCTTGGGTTGGCACAATACGCTTTTCATTGAACACAGCAACGCCGCTGTTGGTTCCGATTTCGATTTCACACGTATGCTATTGCACCTTCGGTATGCTTTCCGACTACAGAATAACCGAATCCGCACTCGATTTCTTTTCGGGTTCTCCGACTCGACGCTACCAATTCAACGCCAATTTGTAATTGGTGGAATAGAGGGTCTCAGGGGGTATCCTTGGTATAGACAGGAAAGTGAATCTGAAGGTCCAATAACCTACAAAAGCGGACATACGTCTTCTCCATACTCGTTTGCAGGAGACCGCGGATTTCTACTCAACATCGAATACCATCATAGTTATCCAATCTGTTCAGTTGGGGTGTTTTCAAAAACGCCTTTGCTATTGTCTTCTTTGATGAGGGACAGGTCTGGGATGTATCCGGTCCAAAGTATACCTTTGATCCGAAAGGAAATATCGGCATTGGTTTTCAACTTGGAGGAAACGATTCTATTTTCCGGGTCAACATTGCAAAAGCCTTTGAATCTGGCAAAGGTATCCAAGTTACGACAGTCTGGTCCAAAAGTTTTTAGTCTAAATTCTTACTTTCATTTTGACCTACCCTTGGGCATCCGAATCTGCAGGGTCATTCAGTTTTATAGTAAAGTCTACAATTACTTAGACACTGTGGGGCGAGGTTACAAACCTCGCCAGCGGGGATGGGGTGGAGCTGCCACTCTCCAAAATGTCAACTTATTTCTTGACTTTACTATAAGAAATTATCGGATTTCACGCCTTTTTTTTCACGATCCGGTGCGGTTAGGAATGCAGATCGCATTTGGGCGAGTACGCCGCAAAACCGCACCTACCGGGTCTGGTTCCTCAAAATCTTCCTAAAGAACGGAAAACTAAATGGCTCTGTCCAAATCTGGTATAAGGGTAGATTAAATTCGTTTCGTATGTTACACTCTAATTCAGGGATTAAGGAATGGATTTATTATCGAGATATTGAGCCTACCTTCAAGCCGGAAAAATATGCGAACCATCCAGTTGTTAGCTACTTTCATCGTGATGTCCTTATCTGTTATCCTGCCGAATTCGGAAGGTGATTCGGACAGATTCACCTTCGTCCGTCTAAGATATGGTGGCCAACTCACCAGACGCAGCAGTTGGCGAGTGGATTGGCCCGCCTCCGACCGAAACTTTATCTGGCAACTCCGCAAACAAACGAATATTGATGCCGATCCCCGTGAAAAGATTATTGAAATTGGTGCGACGGAACTATTTGAATATCCGTTTGCCTACATGTTAGAGGTCGGAAGTCTCAGGTTAAGCCGAAGAGAGGCAAAGAACTTACGTGAATATCTCTTACGAGGTGGTTTTATCTTCGTTGACGATTTCCACGGCGAACGCGAATGGGAACGGTTTTACACGGAATTCAAGAAGATTTTTCCAGAACGAGAGCCGGTGGATATCCCAATATCGCATCCGATTTTCCGATGCTTCTTCAAAATCGAAAAACTCGTCCAGATTCCTGGGCTCCGCTCACTTTTTAGTGGACGCACGTATGAAAGATACGATGGTTATCCCGCATACTGCCGCGGTGTCTATGACGACAATGGACGGCTTATGATGATGATCAACTTCAATACCGACCTCGGAGACGCATGGGAGCATGCCGCTGAGGATTTCTACCCACGAGAATATTCAAATATCGCATTGCAGATGGGTATCAATGCGGTTGTCTATGCACTCACGCATTAATTCCCTAAAACTACAGCCACACTTATATTCAAAAACCTTTTGGCAATCAGGGTTGGACATGTTATAATTGATTCATCGTAAACTTTTGGCGTGTAGAACGCTTTAATACCCGCAAAATGGAGAAAGCAAATATGCTCAGTCATAAACAGAAGTTAGAGTTTTATGAAAACGGCTATATATCTGTCCCCTGGTGTTGTACCGCAACTGATGGTAGACGCGGCGCGGCAAGCAATTAATCACTCCATCGGTGCTGTTGGTATGAACGAAGGCGACTTAGAGCGCTACCGAGCGCAATCCTATTGCAGCGAAATTCGTGAAGCCCCTGAGGTCGTTGATCTTTTCAGTAAAACGCCTATCCTCCGACTTTCGGAGTCGTTAATGGGTGAAGGGAAGGTTCAAATTCCGAACTCAGGACAGATAGCACTGCGTTTCCCGGGTCCGTTGCACGTGGATCCAAATGAACCGCACGGACACCTTGACGGGTTAGGGAGCGGTAAAAATGGAATGGAAAAAGGGGTTTATCGGCGTGGATTTACCGCACTCGCTGTGATTTATCTCGCGGATGTCCCTGAACCTTATAGCGGAAACTTCACTGTTTGGCCCAAATCGCACAGTTTCTTCGCTGACTATTTCAAGAAAGAAGGACATGAGATGTTGGCGAACGGAATGCCGAGACAGGAACTACCGGAGGGACCAACGCAGATAGTCGGAAAAGCAGGGGATGTGATCCTGACACATCACCAGATCGTTCACACGGCGGCGCCAAACGCGGCGTCTGATATTCGCTACGCCGTGATTTTTCGCCTACGTCACGTTGATTGTGAGAAAAATGGTTATGATGCCTACACGAATATCTGGGGTGAATGGCCTGGGATTCAGGAAGCAATAACTGCATCTGATGCCTAAAACCACTGATCGAAAAGCAAAAAAACGGGCGGTTTTATGTCACCGCCCGTTTACTTTACTACTGGATGTCTTTAATATCGCCCCAAGTTGTACTCAATTTGCCGTTGGGATCGACCGCAAACGGATTCTCAGGTCCGTTGGCAAGGTGTTTGACCTCTTTCTCAGAAAGTGGACGGTGGAACAACATAAACTCGTCCAAAATCCCACCATACGCCCATGTTGGTCCCGTAGCTGCATCAAACGCACCTGCTTCTGAGCCAATTCCGATGAATCCGAATCGCGCCAGTCCTGCACCAATGACTTTCGCGGGGGCATCTGCCTTCTCATCCAATTTGCCATCAACGTATATGCGATGTTCCTTACCATCAGATGTTGCGACGAGATGGTGCCATTTGTCATCCGCAACGTCCGTTTTGCCGAACCAGTCATGGCAGCACGGACAACAGGTGTCAAAAGCAACAAAAGTTGTGCCGTTGTTTCCACCTACGTCATCACCGACAGCAAAACGGAAGAATTCGCTCCGATCCCAGGACGCAATCATGCCTCTCTGTCCCGTCTTAACCCACGCGGCGAGGCTAATCTCTTCAATCGGATCAGCATACTGATGTTCCCGAACTGAAATGTAATCTGAACTCACCCCGGGAAACTCCATGCCTTCCCCCACCTTGCCTTTCACTGACTTAATATCGTTGCCTTTGATAAGTCCGTCATTTTTATTACCGGATACATCGACGACATCATCACCCTTGAGGGTGTCTTTGTTGAAACTGTAGTAGATGATGAGATCATCCTCTTTGACCACTTGGGCATTGGTCATCAACACCGGTCCCATTAAAATTAGCATCAACATCAACAGGCTGAACGTAAGAGCATATTTCATTGCGGGTCTCCTTTTGTAACAAGCACGCGGTATAAGCGTGTGCCTTCTAAAGACATTCCTATTTCACAAAACAAAATTGATTTGCTCACGACTCACAAACCTATTTTCAGTATACAAAAATTATTATAAAGATGCAAGAATTAATATAACGCTGATTTCCGAGAAATCTAATTAAAATCTCCATGTATCCCTTATCGCCCTCATGATACGAAATACACTGTTGAGGTACTGAATAACCACGGGTCCATCACCAATTCTTGGAACATATATGTCGCTTCGCCTGTCAATAAGCCAAGGATCGTCCATATACATCCCAAAACAAAGTCTCCAAGAACCAATCCAAGAAATAGTGGCACCGCTCTGCGATATCCGCGAATACCACCGTATTTCAGGATTACCCACTTTACCAACCAGCAGACGAGAAATGGAAACCAGAGGTAGTTGAAATAGTAATAGCCCGCGAGCGGGTAAGCAAGCGGATAGAGGGACCACCACAGAAATCTTAACCGTAAAGCAGTCCCGACAAGGACAAAGACTATACCAAAACCTGTAGCACCGAGTTGCGCGAAATCTGGATCTGTTGGCTGTTTCAGCACTCGCGCAATAGCATTGTAGGCGAGGTTGCCCCGCCATGCTCCTGGCCCACCCCACTTATAGCCGAGTTCAAGGAATGCCCAGAGGGTTACAGCAATAGACAGAAATGTTGCCAACAAACACACCTTCCAGAGTTTACGAGTATCTATGGCAATGTTGCCCGCGGTAACATTCGCTCGCTCCGCCAGTTTGAAACTTTCCAGATAGGCAGGCATCGGCTTGTTCAGGAATTCTTTCGTGTGTGTCCAATACGGTGCTGCGACAGTTAGCGTTTGTGGGGAAATACGATGACTTCCAATTGCCGCTACAATGAGTTGGAAAGGACCGAAGTAATGGATACCATGCATAAGAGGACCAAGTTCAGCCCGCATCCGCGTAAACCCGAACAGGATGAGGTAGTAAATGCCAAAAAATGCGAAGGCAAAACTCAAGGACATTCCAGCTTGATAACAGAAACCGATTAAGAAGGCAATTCCCAACAGTGTCCCCCAAACTGCCGTCCGATATCGCATCGGTTCGGTGGCATCATCAGGATCTGATTCTGGGCTCACCGCTCCTTTCAGTACTCGCCATAGGTGTTTTCTCGCGAGCCACAGCGTTACGACAACGACACCAAAATACCCGCCTAATACCTGCTGATTTGCGAATGGATAGTGTGGAACGTTAACACCCACCATACTCCCAACGATGTATTGCAGTTTCCAAATAACATAGAAAAACCAGCAGGAAAAGAGCAACCCAAGAGGAATTAGAAAGGTAAGCCCGATAATAAAAGGGTTCGCTTGAACAGGCATACCGGGCCAGCCTCGAATGCTATTCCAAGGGCGTTCTATAAAATGTGTCGCGAGATTATAGGAGAGAGGAATTTTAGGGAGGATGGGGAAGAGTGCGTTTAGACCGTTGAGAAGATTGATTGCGCCAGCGATGCCGAAGCCGAGCCATAAGAGCCGGTTTTTGAAGAAGTACGCCTGCGTCATTTCAAAGGGTAAGTAGACTAATGGGTATGTCAATCTTTCCTGTTCTACCCACTGCCGGCGGATGATGCTGTTGATGCAAATCATCACAAAACACAGGACCGTTAGGAAGAGCGTCCACCACACTAACGGTTGAATCCACCCTTTGATGTTCCTTGATACATAGAATGAAGACTCGCCCGAAAAATAGCCTTCCAATGCTTTTTCGGAAGGCTCAAGCCACTGCGGAAGGTAGCTCAGGAACAAGGTCGCCCATTCGTTTTCAGGTGTAGCGAACCATCGGGCATTGCCTAAGGTGCCAAAAATGGTATGCGTGAAATCTTGCCCGCTCACCGATACAGATACCATCAAAATGCTGTAAATCGTCAACAATTCGCCTCGATTTAATGCATTTTTGGGTATCCACCGTGTGAGCAAGAGATTGAGGACAATGACGAGGAAGAAGCAGAAGATAGCATTGAAAAATATCGTCATTGTTGTGGGATCGCCGATGCCCCACACCGTTTCCAACTGCACAACGAGATAGGCGTTAAGCGGAATAAACACCACACCTATCAGCACCGCACGAAATGTCACGCCACGTTTAGGAGTCATCTGTTAGAAATTTTTCCAAATAGAATACATCACCAGAATCTATCCTCTACCATTGTGTTTTTAGCCTGCTCCATGTCGTAGTAACTTTGCCTATCGATTCGACGGGGAGTTGTATGCCGTTATCCATATCGCTTTGAATCTCATCTGCGGAAAGGGCAACACTCAGGATCTGAAGTTCATCAATGAACCCGTCAATACCGTTTCCAATACGGAGGGGTGCATCGTTTGTTTCGGGGTTTTTCGCAAAATTGCCGGAACCTTCCTCTTTGCCATTAACATATAACCGCAATGCTTTTTTGTCATAGGTGAGTGCGACATGATGCCATTTTTCGTCAACAACATCCGTGGCACTCTCCAATTCAACAGCGTCCGTGTTCCCATCACTGGCAAAGATGCCGTAGATTTTGCTACCCCACATTTTCAGGGTATAATTGCGCGTTGCTCGATCATCTCCAACCTGCTTATAGGCGATGTTCTGCTCACCGCCATCTGTATCACTCACGAATTTTATCCATGCCGCAACCGTGAACGTTTCTAAGTTTAACGCGTCTGTATGTTCGACCTCAAGATACGTGCCGGGTTTAAAACCAGCCGCCTTACCAATTTTGCCATCAGCCCATTCCAGTTTTCCACCAACAACACTGGCGGTGTGTTCATGCCCTGAACTATCAGCGGCTTCATCGCCAGCCCCTTCATCGAAGAGCCAGATACCAACGGCATCCGGGTGTTGGGCAGAGCTGGACAGGCATATCGTGAAAATAGACAGAACAACAATTAAAGATAAACAATACCTCATTCAAGAAATTCTCCTGTGATTTAGGAATATCCACCCACACCTAATAGCATCCGTTCTTCCCGATCTGCATCTTTAAGGAAGGTGCGGGTTAACCCGTCTTCGGGTTGTTCGCCGCCGTGTGGCGACTTCCGTAGCCAGGTCGGCGTATAACTTAAGATTAACATTCTCCGTTTGGCGTTAAGCGTTGGTAAACCTCGGTGCCAAAGATTGCCGTGGATCAGGACCCCCCCACCGGCTTCCACCCGTAGCTCGACTTCACCTTCTACCGGTCCATAGACATTTGGTGTTGCCTTGTCTAACCAGTCATGCGATCCAGGGACGACTGCGACCGCGCCGGTATCTTCGTTCAAATCATCGAGATAGATGAGGCAATCGATGCAGTGTGGACGTGAAAACCACGGCGGTAACGGATTAGAAATTACGCGTAGATGTTGGTGCCACGGCGTTTGATGCTCCCGATCATCCCCGGGATAAGTGATGCGTGCGCTCAGACCACGCAAACGCACAAGGGGTCCCATCATCGCACGGGCAATTGATACAGTCGGTTGAATTTTAAGAGTTCTAAGAATGCTTCATCTTTATCCATCAGATGACGCGGAATAAACCCCCAGCCTCGCTTTCCAGCCATCGCACTGTCTCGTTTTTCCCATTCTTGTTCCTCCAAGCGATCCAGAGCGTCTCTCAATTTTTGGAGTGCCTCGCCTTGAAAGAGACCTTCGCGAACAAGATAACCCCGTTTCGGCGAACGTCTGCAATTCCTCGGGTGTGGCATGGACATCCACCTCCCAGTGTTGCCCCGTTTCCGCATTTGGATTGTGGTCATTTAGCATTTCGTACTCGAGTTTATGTCGTTCCATATTTCCCTCAGTAGACACAACTTGTCCTGCAGTGTATTGGGAATGAATTCGTCAAATTGTCGGCATCACATTCCCGCCGCACACCGGAATATACGCACCTGTGATGTAACTCGCGAGATCTGACGCAAGGAAAAGCACGGTATTGGCGATTTCTTGGGCAGTCCCACGGCGTTGCATCGGCACCTTACTCCAATAATGTTCGTCGGAGGCACTCGCTTCACTCTTTTCGCTGACAGTCCATCCCGGAGCAACTTGATTGACAGTGACACCGTGTGCACCGACCTCTTTAGCGAGCACCCGCAAGACACCATCCATACCCCGCTTGCCCGATGTGTAGGCACTTTGAGTTGCGAAGTTTTGCATTGAACATTCCGTATTAATGCTGACAACCCGCCCCCATCCTGATTCGATCATTCCAGGGACAAAGGCTTGTGCCATATATACATTGTGCAGAACGCATGACTGGAACTGGCTCTCGTAGTCTTCAGCGGACTGTTCTAAAACCGAGGTCCAGTTATACTGAATGACGGCGTTATTGACAATGATGTCTGCCAAACCAAGTCGCTCTGAGACGACATCACGCATAGCGTTTATCGAATCCTGATTCGTGACATCCGCCTGTACTATGGCTGCCCGTACGCCTTTGGCGGTGATTTCGTCTTGCAGAAGGCGTGCTGTTTCTTGGTCCCTGTAGTAGCAGATTGCAATATCCGCACCCGCTTCCGCCAAGGTCCTTACCATCACGCGTCCTAACGCGCCTGAACCGCCAGTAATTACCGCTACTTTATTGGAAAGGTCAATCGGAATCATTTCCCCTCCATGTCTTAGAAGTGCTGCTCTGTGTTATGGCTGCAAGAGATCACCAGGAATACGAGACATCGGATAACTTGCGTCTTCGTCGCGATTCGCAACGACTTCCGGGATTTCGCTATCCCAATACTCTGGCACGGTATTCGGACGGCTATGCCATGCGAGAATTAGCGTGCGTCGAACATCAGTGTAGTTTTTATGGGCGGAGTGCAAGATGCGCGCATCTGCTATTACCAACGAACCCGCTTTTGCACAGACATCCACTTGATTCGGGTGATCACTGAACATGATAGGATGATCTTCATCAACAAACCGCGCGCCCTGCTCATGCGCTGGTACCAATATGTCGTGTAAATCGATTCGCTTGCGGTGTGTCCCCGGAATAACCTTTAAACAGCCATTTTCCCGGTCCGTATCGGTAAGATAATAATTAAGGAAAATCGTCTGAGGCCACGGTGTGCAACTCAGCGGATCGTTCCAGCGCATCCAATCTTGATGCCAATAGAGTGGGGGTCCCCCGGATTCCTTCGTCAGAATAATAATTCCGCCGGATGTCGTAAAATCCCCAAATCCAATTTGTTCGAGTGCATCACATGATGGTTGCCATTCCAGAAGTTTTTGGATGTGCGCGTTATCGTCACCGCGGGCGTTGACATGCTGCCCTTGGTAAATTACATCCTCCGGTTCCACATGTCCTGCGATAAGTCGTTCCGATTCGTCTCGGAGTTCCTGTAGAAACTCCTCTGTCAGAACATCATCAACAATGCAGAAACCCTCTTCGATCATTTGCTCCCGTTTTTGTAAAGCGACTTCAGGTGTCATCACACGCTCCTTTACCTATAAATGTGGTTCTGAAACTAATTCTAATCAGGTGTAACTTGAAAGCTTATTTTATTTTATACGAATTAGTAACAGAAAACAACAATTTTTTCTCAATTCCGATCTGTTTTTGCTTTGCTATAGCAATAAAATTTTTGATCTCCTTTCGGTTTTATGTTATACTTTACGAAGAATAGGAGGCAAGGCAGATGATCAATCGGGAAGACATTCAATTGACTTGTGATGATATCGTTCGTGAATTCGCTCCGTTGCAAGTCATTCTCTTTGGATCCTATGCGTATGGTGCTCCGACAGAGGATTCAGATGTCGATTTGCTGGTAGTCATGGAGATTCCGGAATCAGAGACGCGTCGCCAAGCTGTGGAAATTCGGCAACGCATCCCCCGCCGTTTCCCTATGGACTTGCTTGTACGTTCACCAGAAGAGATTGCTTATCGCATTTCGTATAACGACTGGTTTCTTCGCGAAATCACTGAAAAAGGTGAGGTGCTTTATGGGGGCAGCAATTTTTTTTCAAAACCTTTGAAAAGAGAGAAATGTCTTATGAATCCATTAACATTGGAATGGATACAGAAGGCTGAAGGTGATTATACCACGGTAAAGTTACTTCAGGAGAGTCCAATTTCAAGTAAAGATGTCATCTGTTTCCACGCTCAGCAGTGTATAGAAAAATACCTCAAAGCGTGGCTTCAAGAGGCAAATATCCCTTTCTCAAAAACACATGATTTAGAAACATTACTGGATTTGATAGTGCCTACTATTCCCGCTTGGCAGACTTGGTATTCTGAATTTTCAACGATTTCCGAACATGCTATCGACCCTCGCTATCCCGGCAAGTTCGCTACTGCTAGCGAGGCAGAACAGGCGGTGGAAATCTGTATCAAGGTGCGTCAAGCAGTTCGATCGGAACTGAAACTTCCTCAAAACCAATCAGAAAGGCAGGTTTAGCACATGGAAACCACAGGACAAACAATAAACATTCCGAAACTGGAAATCACCGATCAGGAACGCGCTGAAGGCAAACCTACGCCAGAAAGTGTTGACGCGGGTGAGCGTCTCTTACGCGAGACTGGATTGGTGGTCATTGAAAACGTGCTTCCACGTGATTGGATAGCAGATCTCAATACCGCTATGCAAACTAGACTTGATAATGAGGAGAATGATCAAAACGGTGAGAACCCAATGCTAAAAATGCCGTTCATGGATTCGCGCATCATTGACAACCCCTTTGCCATGCCGATTCTGAAAGCGGCAATGGGTGAAAAAGTGTTCGCGTATCTGCCTTATGGCTGTAACGCGACGCGTCCCGGTGGCGACATTCAGTGGATCCATCGAGATTCGGGGCAACTTTTTCCTGAACTGCCGTTTGCGCTGCCGGTTTGTACAATCGTCGTTAACATTCCACTCGTCGACTTTACAGTGGAAAACGGTGCCACTCAGGTGTGGCCAAGTTCGCATCTCATTGTTGATGACGCGGCGGTACGTAATTCCCCCTATAACGTGTGTGAGGAAGAACGCGGGGCAAAGTACCCTCTTTTCAGTTAGAGATGCCTGCAGGTTCTGTTGTGGTCCGCGACATGCGATGCTGGCACCGAGCAATGCCGAACCGATCGCAAATTGTTCGGCCCATGCTTGCCCTCGTCTATTTCCGACGGTTTCACCACTCCCCCGACGCACCGGGAATCTTCGGGGCACGAATTTCGGAAGATATATGGAACAACATGTCTGAAGAAGCGCAAGAGATGTATCGGTTTCAGCCACACGATTAAGGAAATATAGATAGGAGACATATGCAAAGAACGCTGCTGATTCACCCAGAAATGCCTGAAATTGACAGGGAACACGGGTTTTCGAATATCAATGGACCTTCACTCGTTCGCGTACCGGAGTGGGTAGAGAATCCCTTGGGAAAATACTACCTCTACTTCGCACATCATCGCGGTGCCTATATCCGGTTAGCGTATGCCGATGCAATTGAAGGTCCTTACACCATCTATCGTTCGGGACGCGTTGCATCGGGACAATACCGTGTTTCAGGGATGCGACCACATCGCTTCCCCGGATGTCCACATAGATGAGAAAAATCGCCGTTTCTTCATGTATTTTCACGGAAGCTACGGTGGCGGACAAGCGACCTGCTGGGCGACCTCTACTGACTGAGTGAATTACACCCCTTCGGATACACTGGATAAACGAAACGGTGCCTATTTTCGCGTCTTTTGGTGGAACGGACACCCCTATGCGACGTATCACGGTTGGATAAGCCGTGCGCAAACACCGGAATGGACAGCAGCGTTCATTCAGCGAGATACACCGCTCTTTCCACGCAAATCGGCTACGGACAACACAGGTTTCCCGCGCCACACAGCAAACCTTCTTGAAGGGGATACCTTGACTGTCTATTACTCACTTTACGGAGATAGCCCAGAGCGCATCCGTAAAAGCACTGTGCAGTTGACAGACGATTGGAATGATTGGCACCCATCTGAACCAACAGAGGTTATCGCGCCAAAATACGATTTTGAGGGTGTGGATCTACCGATTAGACCGTCGACAGGTGGGTTAGATCGGGAACGCGTACATGAACTCCGCGATCCGGCTATCTATTGTGAGGATGGCGAGACGTGGCTTCTTTATTCGGTGGCAGGGGAACAGGGGATTGCAATTATGCAGTTAACTGATTAGTGAATTCTGCTATTTAAAATGGATATTTCATAGTAAAGAGTCCAACAGTTCACTCCAAAACCGTAAATGAGTTTCCTTGACATCTGTACTCTGCTTGAAGTCTAACTGGAGGTTTTTTGAGTAGCGATCTAAAAATAGTTTGGGATTACTTAACAATCGTAGGTAATATTTTAATGAAGGAAGGATGCCGTTAACAATCACTTCGCAACTATGTTGTCTGTGGATCTGATGAACTAATTGCTCTACCGCCCCTGGATCATTAACATTTGGTTCCGCTGTAGTGAGTAGATAATAACGACGAACAGCAGTCTCGGCAAATTTCTGATATGCATCTTGGACAAGATTTGGCGAAATCGGAATGTTGTGTTTAATTTCGACTGCCTCGAAAAAATCCCCATTTTCCTCCAATATTTCAATGTCTCCAATTCCACCAGATTTAATATCCGATGTGGTATGACTTTTCAATGGAGGAAGTATTTTGCCTTCATATCGCTCAAGTGCCATGAGCATTTCATATGCGGAGTAAACTGCCAATACAGGTAACCGCGAAGCACCAGCGACGCGATAGTTGTAAGAAAAGTGGTATTTAAGGAGATTGACTATATTTTCGATCGTTACCGCATCTGTTTGCGGTGTCTGGTCAAGATTTGCGTTTGCCGTTTCCAATAAACCAAGGTCGACCTTTGATCTTTCCATCAAGGTAATCAGAGAAGCAAATACAGCATAGAGATATCTTTCTGGATCTGTTTGATTTTCCTCAATATCGTTAAGAATCTCAAGGAAGGCCTCTTTCACAAGCTTACTGCGAATTTTGCCAGGAAAGTCAAGTGTAAAAGCGTGAACCTGTTCAAGTGATCGTGTCAACTAACCACTTTCTTTCATAGCAAGCCGTTGAAATTTCTCCTTCATAAAGGGCGTTATGTACTGTGTATCGAAGCCTCTTCCTGAGTAACCATTTGGAAGTTCCGTTTTATGATTGCGGACATCTTGGATAGGTGTCTCAATCTTTTTGGTAAGCGATGTAATCAGGACTGTCAGAACTCCTTTGTAGGACTCCGCGTTTTCGATGATAGTCTTGACCCAATTTTCTTGGCGTTCTGAGAGCTCAGGATGAGTACTATTCCTTGACTCTGCCAGTTGATAAGTGTCTTCCAAAATTGAGCGTGTTTTACTCATCATTTACCTTCAAATAAGCGCAGCGAGGCATTCGGTGCCTCTGAGATCCGCTGTCGGGCATCTTCACAGTATTCAGCATTAATATCATAACCGATATAATGTCTCCCCAGTCTTTTGCAAGCAACCGCAGTTGATCCTGAACCCATAAACGGATCTAGAACTAATGCACCTGTCGGAGTGAGCAGGTGTAAGAACTCCTCCACAACTTCCACTGGATAGATTGCCGGATGTTTATTTCCTTTGACAGTAGCTACTGATGTTTCAATCATATCTCGCTTGAGTCTATTACCGTGCATCCGAATAATTGTAAAACCTTTGTTTTTTAATTGCAATGTACGTCCACCTATCTGCCCACCGAACGGTTCCGAATGAATGCCACGAATTTTCATCCGAAAACTATGCGTCTGTCCTTGGATCACCTCTTGGATAACTTCCGTAAGCTCGCGACGCGCAACAGTCTTCTCTGCCTCAGACAGCTCAGATTCTGCAATAAGTTCAAAGTATCGCTGTCCAACCTTAGTACTGGCTTTTTTATTTGATTGTTTCGGAGTACGTTCCTCCGCCAAGAAGGCGTTGAGGTCGTAGAAATAGCCGTCTGACTTGACAAAGTGGAAGAATGGCTCTGTGCTACTGACGAGGCGGCAGCGAAACTGGCGCGGCGTTGGATTCCGTTTAACCCACGTGATTTCGTTCACGAGTTTTACTAAACCTGTCTTCGTCGCGGCAATCGCAAACCGGTAGGGAACAAGAAGTAGGTTGCTATCCTCATACTTGTCGCCTATATTGAAAACGATACTACCGTCATCTTTGGCCACGCGGACACATTCCGGAAAAGGTGGAGTAATGTATCAATAATCATTGACATCCTTTTATTGCCCATACCACCGCGTAGTCGCGCTGTTGAAAATAGGGAGTTAGGGGACACAAGGTAGTGTACCGTCTTACGTCGTACGTTAATTACAATGGAGATACTGCACTCGGTAGCTGCGGATGAGTCAAGAGGGTCGCGACCGACATCAAACGATTTGGTCGGATATATGATGCGGAGGGAACTCTCAGCATTGTGCGCATTTTCAGGAATGTGTATTGCAGTAGTTTAGTTGGTAATCTTGATTGATGTTTCTCAATGAGTCTTCCGAGAAAATAAACGCAAACACGCACGAGCGTAGGAAGCCATCTCAACGCCACCCTTGCTTTGGATTCACTGTAGCTATACGGACTGACACAGGCACTAAGTAGCGTCCTGCCTACTATAAGCAGCATGGCCACCATAACACCAC